TCTGATTCTTTGTCTCGGCTCAGGTCATGATCTCATGGGTCATGGGATCAAGCCCCGTGTCTGGCTCTGCACTCAGTGGGGAGTCTGCTTGAAGATTCTCTCCCTCTGCCCCTCCCCCCACTTGTGCTCTCTCCCTTTCTCTCTTTCAATCTCTCTAAAATAAATATATCTTTAGAAAAAAGATTTTTTGAAAAGGAATGAAGGGTGATATCACTAGAGATCCTGCAAGTATTAAAAGGATAATAAAGGTCCATTATAAAAAACTGTGCCTGTAGTTCAACAACTTAGATGAAATAGACCAATTCTTTAAAAACTACAAACTACCAGACTCTTGCAAATAATGAGATAAGATAACTTGAATAATCCTATATAATTGTTACAGAAATAAAGTTTGTAGCTAATAATCATCCAAAAAGGAAATCTTTCAGGCCAGATAGTTTTACTGGCAATTCTACCAAACATTTAAAGATGTTAAAGCCTCAGTATCAGCCCTGAGTCTGAGTTTCAGAGGAAGGAGATTCCAGGTCCCAGACACTGCCCTCGCCATTCCTGTTAAGCTCCTGGTTTTGTCCCTGCTTCCCGAAACCAGCACTCCAGGACTATGTCCCACCTTGAGGGTTAGAAGCAATAATACTTGTCAATCAGTAGTTGATTCCTGGAATCTCCTATGTGCTTGGGCCTGTTCAGGGTGCAGAGGTGAATCACACTGCATCCTTAATGTCTGAGAATTTATGAGGAAGAGGTGTTAAGTCAGGATGGAAAATTAAACCTACTGCTTTTCTTTGTAGTGAAAAAGCTCATACAGAGCCAGCTGGGTTCACCCCTGCTCACAGCATGGTTATTTTAAAGAAATACATGGCAGTCCTTCTCATATCTCCACACAGTTCCAGATGTAGACGCACACACACACACACCACAGTGTTTAGAGAGGTCAGCCTTTGCAGAAGTGTACAGATCATTCAGCTGATCATTCACCATATAGTTACGCAGCACCACCTCTAACCTTGGGTCTCTGCTGGGTCCACCTCTTCGGAGAGGAAGAGTTTACGCATCAGCAGGTGCCACATGCATGAAACAAACAACGGCCACACAGAATGAGGGTATCCCGATACAATTAGGTACATTCACCATGGGTGCATAGGGTAGGAAGCCACTAATGTTTTGGGGAGAGGGTGGAGGAGGAGGCTCAGAAGTCTTCCAAGAAGAGAAGAAACTTAAGTGAGGTCTTCAAGGATGAGAAGGAGTCTTTCAGGTGAGCAAGAAGGCTGACACTGTCCAGCAAAGAGAAAACACACCAAGTAGTAATAAAATAGCACAGTGGTCACTACAGTAACTTAGTGGTGTTGGGCAGAGGAACCCAAGAGGTGAACCTGGAAAGAGAGATCTGGGACCTTTGCTGAAGGATGGGCTTCGTTGATCACATGAGTTTGATCTATTTATTTTCACTTTAAATTGAAAATTGTTGGGTATGTGTCATGTGCACATGGTATAAAATTTAAAAAGTAGAAAAGGTATATGGAGAATATTGTGTTCCTCAACTGCACCACCCCCAACCCAGTTTCTCTTCCTGAAGTCAGGTGCCAGAACTGGTTTTTTGGGCATACTTCCAGAACTATTTTCCCTGCATTTAAAAATAAGGGTGCATCTGTATATTTGCCACACAAAGGCTGCATATTGTACTTTCTATCCCACACCTTGCGTTCCTCTTTGGATATTTATTTTATTTATTTGGAATTTGGATGTACCGTAATTCACTGGATCAGTTCTGTTGATGGAATTTAGGTAATTTCTGGTCTTTTGCTGTTATAAACTGTGCTGCAGTGACAATCCTTGTCTATAAGTCCATTTACACATGGAAATCTATCTATAGGACAAATTCCTCATAATGGAATTCTTGGGTCAAAGGATGTAAGTATTTTTAGTTTTATTAAATGATGCTAAATCACCATCCATAGGGGCGGTGCTGACAACCTGTTTCCCCATACCCTGGCCAGCAGTGTTCTTAAACCTTTTGCTCCTTTAGGCTCAGGCTTTTAGGCTTTATCCTGTAAATGATGATGAGCCCTGGAGAGGTTTTTAAGCAGGGGAGTGTCACAATCAGATCTGTATTTTGGTAAGACCACTTGGGCTGCAGGGAGGGTAAGTGTTGCTCAGAGGCAAAGACTAGAGTCATGAATACAGGTCGGGAGGCTTTAAAGTAGTCCAGGCAAGACAGAATTGTTGGCAGTGTGGTTTAGGCAGTTGGCAGTGGAGACAGAGAAGGGAATGGGTATTGAGACACCGAGGAAGTAGGTTCGATAGGACTCAGGACTGATCAGGCTTGGGGACGTGGGAGAGAAGATAGCTTTAATCAAAGGCTCTAGCGGTGCATGGCCGGCTCAGTCTCTAGAGCGTGTGACTCTTGATCTCAGTGAGTGTGAGCCCCATGTTGGGTGTCGAGATGACTTAAAAATAAAATCTTAAAAAAAAAAAAAGCAAAAAATCTCTGTTCTCATGAGTATTGTGCAAAGTCAGCATTTTCTTTGTAAATTTATAGATTTCATGCCCATGTTAATGCTTCCTAATCCTAGAATACCAGGAGTTAACAGAAGGTTCTAACGTATCACTAATCTCTGTTTGTTGGCTCCAAGGGGTTTTTGTCTGTTAGTATCTTACTGGTGGTCAGAGAAATTGGAGGAGCATTTTTACTGTCATTCCTTGGCCAGTCAGACTTTTATTTGATGGCTTCTGAGCATCACCAACCACACTCTTATTTTTCACATATTTGAATGAATGGTATCATTCATTCAAAATTCCATATTCAGTAACTTTAAATTCTATACTTAATTCAAATGTAGTTTAATTAATATATTTTAAAGTCTTTCTTTATGTGATCTGTTTCCTTTGGTTTTGTGTGTGGTTCTTCTGATAAGTAGAGATATTTGTATGTGGTAATGTATAATATATATTTTATATTGTATATGATACCATTAAGCATTTCTTCTGTTCGGGGTCTTAATTTTTTATGACGAGCTATGATAAAGTGTTTCCACTACTCTTTTTCCCTGTCATTTTCCATCTCATATTAGCCCCACCTCTTATTTCTAGGTGATTATCTCTGTATAGTTAGATATCCTGTATTTCTATTACCTAGTTTTTCAGTTTTGATTAAATCTTTGGTTCCTGGCTTGTATAGGTGATAGACTCAAGGAACTTACTCCACTTGTCACCTTCTTCCTCCTTCCCCTTTTTGTACGAGTTGTATCATTTCTGCCTGCTCAGGGCCTAGAACGCTGACATTTTGCTCTGCCACTCTAAACCCCTTTGGTTCTAGTCTCGATTATATAATTAATAATATATTTAATGCTAAGCATGAATTTTGCTGTGGTTTCCCTGATCATCTTTTGGTGGACCGAAGTATGTTCTCTAGTAGTTTTCTCAAGCGGGGCTCGTGGGAACAATATTCCCTAAGTCCGCATATGTTCAAAAAACCATCTTCCTAAGCTTAGAAATTTTCAAGAAGTTTCTTCAGTAGCATGTTTTTGCTGGCATTTTCTGAGATGTGCTGCCGCTGGGCCGTTCCACTCTCCTCTGCCTGTACCAGCTGGATGTCAACCTTGAGCGTCTTCTTTGTGATTCCCACCCAGCTCTCCACGATCCCACAGCTCTCCTTGGAGGGGGACTTTGTGGGTTCATCACACCAGGATGAGTCCTGTATCTACCGTAACTGTGTTTTGCGGCCACGCTCTGAGGCCCGTGGAACTCTTCGCTCTTCACCTGCCCGAGCTGTTTTCACGGTTTCTTTTCTCCCCACAGCTTTTGTTCCCAAACAGCCTCCCAGTGGCTCAGCTATCTGCTTGAGGCAGCCCTTGCTCGGTTTTTCTTTTCTTTTCTTCTTCTTTTTTTTTTTTTTTGAGACTGTAGATTTTATATGCCTCCGGTTTCACTCATGATGAAGTTTATAATTTCTTTTTCTTGTTTACTTTGTTGGCTTTGATTATATTTGGGAGGAAAAGAGGCAACTTGTCTCTTGTGCCCCTATGTTTAGACCGGAAATCCTTTAATTATATTTGACTGGGAGGCATTCTCCGCTCACAGCTGGGAGCCTGGGATTTGAAATTAGACACACCTGGCTTCTGAGCTAACCTCTACCACTTACTGTTGGTGGATAATCACATTTCTCTTTCGGCCATTGGTGTATTCTTATCTCTAAGGTTTACTTTTTTAAAAAAATGCTTTTAAAGATTTTCATTTTTACATAATCTCTACACCCGGTGTGGGGCTTGAACCCACAACCCCCGAGATCAAGTGTTGCACACTCTTCCGGTGTGCCCCGGTGTTCTTATCTCTAAAATGGAGAGAACGCTCACAACTATTTCATACTGTGAGTAAGTGAGGTGGTGTATGCATCATACATAGGGGCCTAGCAGAGTGCTTTGCAAATAGTGGGTGTTCAAAAGGGTAATAGTATAATGTTTCATTGATTTTTCCAGCACAGGTGGCGTTCCTAATTACTTTAACCTTCTCTGTTTGGATGGTGTCATATTACTACCACTCGATCAACGTTAATGGCAGATGCTGTCATGGAGGCCATTGTCAGGAGACCCTTTGGCTCTCTCCCATTTTGCCCATAATTCTGTCTGGTGTCAGTTAGTGCCAAAAAAGAGGGACAGATTAATTTGCTCAGAAGCCCTGGAGAGAGGACACTCTTCTCCAAATGACAGGGGTGAGGGGTCTTTCAGGAAAGGCAGGGTTTCTTCAGGGAGAGGTGGGAAGGGCCGGAGCTAGACCTGGACTCTGGATAGTCCTTGGTCTAGACTCTGGGATCAGGGACTGGGATGGGTGGGCTTGGGACTGTCACACGTCCTTTGCCTCCCAACCCCTAGCAGGCCTGGAAAACCAGGTGGCAGGATTCCCATCAGGGCACGTCTGGATGAGGTCAGAGGAGGCTGGGATGCCAGGTTGACAGAGATCCTAAGTCTCATGTAGCCAAGTGCTTGCTTTTGTCTGTGTGTTCTCAGGTCCCGGAATCCCAGGCAAACCTGGCTCCTACTGTGTTGGCCAGCAACAGCGCCGATGCGGTCTCTGCTGGTCGCAGCAACTCCAGAAGCCAGGGCATCATCGAGCCCATGGATACAGACACCCAGGAAGATCAGAGGACATCTGCTGACCAGAAACCTGGAGGCAGGAAGAATATGGAGGCAGATGGGAAGATGCAAGTGGATGGGAGGACCCAGGGAGACAGGACACAAACAACCCAGAGGACACAGGCAGATAGGAAGACTCAGGTGGACATTGTGCCACAGGAAAGTGAGAGGCCAGCGTCAGCCAGGAGTTCCCAGGAGGATGCGGCGGCACAGGGAAGGGCAGGGACACAGGTGGAAAGGACACAGACAGGCAAGAGGACGCAGGAAGACAGAAGGATCCAGGAAGAAAAAGGGACACGGTCAGAGGGGAGCATACCCACAGCCATAAAAGGTCAGTCAGAGAAGGGCTCCATGACCAGCCTCAGCCCACAGTCCAGAGCCCCCAAACGCCCCCCTTCAGAGGGTCCTCAGTCTCCTCAGATTATTGAGTGTTTTGAGCAGACCCCTGAAGGGCCCTCTGTCCCAGAAGAACCTGGTTTCATGCTCAGATCTGAGGGGGCGGCAGTCACAGCCCCGGGGAGCTACGAGGCAGCTCTGCTGGGTGCCCCGGCAGGCAGCCGCACGCTCCCAGTGCAGCGACCTCCCCAGGGTGGTCCGGAGCAGCGGGGAGGGCCCAAGTGGTCGGGTCCGGTCAAGGACAAGCCAGAGGATGGCCTGATCCCACGCCCCAAGGAGGAGCAGCTGAGAGACGTGCCGTCCATGGATCTAGGTGGCTGTCCTCCAGCTGGCTGGAACCCAGAGGTGCCTACTGTGCCCTCTCCTCCCGGGCCGGGCCTGACCAAGAGCTCACGGGAGGCACTGCCCAGCACTCCGGCCTCTCAGCACACGAGTGCTGCCGCCTTCCCGTCCTCTGGGGACCAGGCCTTGCTGAGGTCGGCCCCCCCACTGCACCTGGGGCCAGGGACCCCCACCCAGAGTCACCCACCAGCAGCCATGTCAGCCGACAGCGAGGGGGCCTGCGCCCTAGGGCTGGACGTGGAGGGGAGGCCCCCAGGCCCCCGGAGCTGCGACCCTGGCCTCATAGACTCCCTGAAGAACTACCTGCTTCTGCTGCTGAAGCTCTCCAGCACAGAGACGGGGGGCGGGGGTGCGGAGTCCCAGCAGGGAGCCGCCACTGGGGCTCCGGTGTCCTCAGCCACTCTGGTCCCCAATGTGGAAGTGGCCGGTCTGAGTCCCCGGACGTCCAGGCGCATCCTGGAGCGCGTGGAGAACAACCACCTAGTGCAGAGCGCGCAGAGCCTGCTGCTGAGCCCCTGCACCTCCCGCCGCCTCACCGGCCTCCTGGATCGTGAGGTGCAGGCTGGCTGCCAGGCCCTGACTGTAGCCCGGGGCCCCGGCCCCAGCACGCTCACTGTCCCTGCCATCGTGGTAGGCGAGGAGGAGGGCCCTGGGCTCCCATCAGAAGGATCCAGTGAGGGCGAGGGCGAGGGCGAGGGCGAGGGCGAGGTTTCCCCTGAGGGGCCTGGGCGCTCGGGGGCCTCCCAGGAGAGCAGCGTGCAAGGGTCTCTGGGGGAGGCGGGTGGGCAGACGGCCTCTGGTCAGGGACCACTCTCAGCAGACAGAAGGGCCCAGGAACCCCTCCGAGAGGAGGAGGCCTCGACAGGCCTCCCTGCAGCTACACCTGAGGAGCTAGCTCTGGGGGCCCGGAGGAAGAGATTTCTCCCCAAGGTCAGAGCAGGAGGAGACGGGGAGGCAGCCAAGGCTGAAGAAAAGGAGAGCCCCACAGTTTCCCCTCGGGGGCTCAGGAAGGGCCTTGCACCCGGGTCCCCGGGGACCCCGGGGCGGGAGAAACGCTCCCCGACCCAGGGTAGAAAGGCAGGCATGCTGGAGGTGCCGCGGGCAGAGGACGAGCCGGCAGCAGGAGACCTGGGCTCCGGCCCCAAGGCCAGCAGCGTGGACGCAGAGCAGGCCCTGGATGAAGGCAAGCAGGACACTTGGGCCAAATCCAAGAAAGCCAAAGACCTGCTAAAAGGTGAGCAATGGGGAGGGCGGGGGAGGGCTTCACGGGGAGAGGGTTGCACACTCGGAGCGCACACGCCCATGAGGGGTTTGCAGAGTCCCTCCTACGCATTCTCCTGGAATGACCCCCCAGGCTGTGCAGTCCGAGGGCTAGTTCTTGTCCTGGCTCTGCCACTCGGGATTGGGAGGAGTACCAACTGTGTACCACTGAGGCTGAAGCAGGATGGAAGAAATCAGGTCCTGAGCGCGGGGCTGGCTTCCCTAGTGTCCTACGTCTAGTGCCTTCGTCCCCACCATCCCCTCTGCACAGACGTGTCCCCCGAGTACAGAGCAGGAGGGTCGGGATCCAGACACAGGTTCCTCGAGTTAGGGCCTAGAACCCAAACTGAAGTTCTCTCTCTCTCTCTCTCTCGCCACAAGAGCCTTGCATTTTATTTGAGGAGAAGCTTTATGTTTCGTTGTGTTTTCTTTGTTGTCTTTAGGGAACTCAGCTCCTTTAATAGATGTAAGGTCATTGGTGTTATCTGTTTCTTCTTGGGTGGGCTTTCCTAGCCAACACCATCCAGTGAATTCTCCCTTTTCATCTATAAAACAAATACATCTAAAAATGTAAAATGTAAAAATACATCATCTAAAAAACAAATAGGGTGATATTTGCCATAGCGTCCTCTGCGATCCATTTAATATCTGAAGGTTCTGACATGACCTCGGGAATTTCTGATTCTGGTAATTTGTGGTGCTGTTTCTTCTTCCCATTTATGCGTTTCGTCTCTCATGGATTTTTTTGTTTTTAAATTTTTTTATTTGAGTATAGTTGTAATGTAATATATAGTAATAGAATATAACATATCTCTCTAATATGATGTATGCATATAGATGATACAATATAACATAATGTAATATAACATGATATAACGTAACCCAGTGTTACATTAGTTTCATAGTGATTCAACAATTATATACATTATGCTGGGCTCCCCACAAGTGCAGCTGCCGTCTGCCCTGGGCTCTGAGGCTGTCGCAGGCCCGGGGTGGGGGACACAGGAGTGGGGCCTTCCAGCTACGATGTGTGCTTTGGAGTCAAAGCAAATGCCTCAGAGAAGCAGGTGGGACGCGGCTGGCAGCCCGGAAGCAGTGGGTTTGTGGGCAGGCTTGAATCCTGTTTTCTCTCAACCTGTCCCACCAGGGACACCCAGGGAAGCAGGGGTGGGGCCAGGGTGAGGGGCACAAGATGGCAGGGAAGTGGCTTGTCCCTCTTAACTGGGCCCCTGCTCTCAGCCCCACAGGTGATCCGGAAGATTCGGGTGGAGCAGTTTCCTGACGCCTCGGGGAGCCTGAAGCTCTGGTGCCAGTTTTTCAACATTCTTAGTGACTCAGTCTTGACGTGGGCCAAGGATCGGCGCCCAGTGGGCGAGGTGGGCAGGAGGTAAGCCAGCCGGATGCCACGTCCACCTGCCTGGCTCCCTCAGTGCAGCGATGAGAATGTGGGGCATAGTCCTCCCGCTGTGGCTCTATCCCATCTATCACGTAATGCTCACGGTCACCCTAGGAGGAGATTCTAGTATTTCCTTAGTAGAGAGGAGAAAGTGGAGGCTCAGAGGTATTAAATCACTTGCCAGGGTCCCAGAGCTAGGGAGTGTCAGGACGGCCAGCCAGACCTGTGTGATCCAGGACCAGCCCTTGACCACAGTACCACTCGCCCCTGCCTGCGCTCTCGGAGCCGGGGTCCACAGCAGCCTCTGAGGACAGGGTGTCACGATCCTCAGGGCCACACTCCGGCCCTGGGCTGTGCATGGCAATGGCCCTCCTGGGGGGGGTCTCCCCTCTTTGCAGTGCCGGGGATGAGGGGCCGGCAGCCTTGGCCATCGTGCAGGCGTCCCCCGTCGACTGCGGCGTGTATCGATGCACCATCCGCAACGAGCACGGCTCGGCCGCTACCGACTTCTGCCTCAGCCCCGAGGGTGAGTGTGCCCCCTCCTGCGCTCTCTGCCCAGCCTGGCTCCTGAGGGAGGGCTGCGCTCGTCTCCGCGGGGAGGGTGCTCTCTCCAGGCCAGGCCAGCCTGAGGACAACTGCCTCCTCTTCTTTTTCTCCCCCACAGTGTTGTCAGGATTCATCTCCAGAGAAGAGGGTGAAGGTATGATGCCTGTCTGGGGGAGGAGCGGGTGGGCCTTCATCCCTACCCCTGCCATCCTCGGGGAGGGCCTACTTTATCCATTCCAAATACCATGTTTACCTCCACACCCAGCTACCCTTGGCCTCCTTGTTTAGGATAGGGCTCGGGATGGAGGATGGGGAGGACTGCTATTTCCGAAGATTGTGGGGGAAGGAGTGGCCAGGGGGCCCTTCCACAAGAGGTTAATTCAGCCTTGTGCCCTTGGCCCATGTTGGAGCCCTTGACCAAGGGTAGGCCTGGCCGCTAGAGCCTGCCTTACCCTGCCAGCTCCCTTCCTGGAGTTTCTCACCGTGCTCTGTGGGTTCCTGCCTCCGATCCCCACGGCAAGCTTGCTAAAAATGCGGTTTCTAGGGCCCTGCTGTAGATACCCTTAATCACAACTTCGGGGGAAAGGGACCCAGAAAAACTGCATCTTCAGGAGGTCTCTGGTGATTATAAGGCATTTCCCCGAACATTAGAGCAAGAGGCTGTGCTGCTTCTGTAGGAAATACACTGAGGATTAGGGCCGTGAAGGCAGCTGGTGATAAATTTTTAGAGCCTCACTGCCAACTAATGTGTTCATTCATTCATTCGCTCATTTAATCACTCAGTCATTCAACTAGTGCCTTTTGATCAGTTGTCCAGTGTAATCGATATCAAATAGGACCTCACACCTAAACCCTTGGCAATAGTTCTTTAATGTGCTCAAACACAGTCGCATTTCAATTGTCTCGTAAGGGTTGGTTTACTTGGGTTAGGAACCACTCATTGCTTTGGGCAGATCGATCTTAAGTCTCTCTAATACATAACTGTTCTTGTTCATTGTTTTCCCTTTTTATTTGTTGAAGTCACTTGATAGATAGGATTTCTTACACTCTGGACTTTGTTGATTTAACCCCATTTAACATGTCCCCCTTCTCACATGCTTCTCCTAGACTGGTAATCCGATCGAGAGGCTTGGTCAGATTCAGGTGCAATTCTTTGGGGGGGGGGTGGGCAAGAACACCTCACAGATGTGCTCTGTCTACCTCTTAGCATCCCATCTAGAAGCACACGATTAATGTCTGACTGTTTTACTCTAGTAACATTAAGATTGACCCCTGCATTCATTCAGTTGTTTTCTGCCCTATCTTTGAAAAAGTTTAAAAACTGTTTCTGATACTTGTTACCTAGAGGTTTTAGCAGCTACCAGTTATTGCCTGAATCCACGATTTCATTAGGGTTTACAACTGGAGTATTTTAATTCTGTCATTTCTTCATTCATCCATTGAGTTTCTTTTGTAAACAAGAAATGGTCCTTTCGTTGCCCTGAGTTGGTGTCCTAGCATCCTCCAAAGGTCACCAATGAGGTTTGGGGTTTTTTTGTGTGTGGGGAGGGAGGACTGAGTTTTTTCCAAATACAATTAAGAATGTAATTTTTAAAACATATTTGATATGTTCGCCACATTGTAGAAATCATTCTTTTTGGTTGGGATGATTGATTTGGGCCCGTGGAAGCCCCTTCAGAAAGTTGGCTCCTGCGTCCTTCTGACAAGCCTCAGGGGTTTTTTAAAAGTGGCTTCTTTGCTCTCTGGTCAGGCAGGATGTTTTAGGTCCATCGAGTCCACTTCCTGCCTGAGACCTGGAATCAGCCGGTTCTTTAGGGAGCTTGGGGTCCCTTGACAGGGAAATGGCTTGTAGGGATCACAGTCTGAGCAGTGGGGCAGCTCATGCTACTGGATTGGTCCTGCAGACTGTTTCGGTCAAACATGTTGGTTGAGATGGAGACATATTCATTTGATCAAAACACCTAATTCCCAAACAAAATCCATGCATGGATTGCCGCTTCCACGGAAAAGCCGTGCCTTGTGCAGATACTGACCTCGTCCTTGCTGTGTGCCGGGCACACTCAAGCACTGTTAAACAGTGGGGGTTGTGTTCGGCACAGATCCGCCCTCGGGAGCTCACGGGCTGGTTTGGGCCCCGCTGTACGGACCCCCAAAGAGCAGTCATGGGCGCAAGTGAGCGTGCCAGAGTGGTGGGTGGGAGACTATTCTGGCTCTCTCTGCCCGACAGACCCACCTCGGTGGGGCAGCAACTTCTAGTTTTCCACATCTTCCCTGTTCCCTTGCAGTTGGAGAGGAGATTGAGATGACCCCCATGGTGTTTGCTAAGGGTCTGGCTGACTCTGGCTGCTGGGGGGACAAGCTCTTTGGGCGCCTGGTGAGCGAGGAGCTACGAGGGGCTGGACATGGGTATGGCCTTCGGAAGGCCTCCCAGGCCAAGGTCATCTACGGGCTGGAGCCCATCTTCGAGTCAGGGCGCACGTGCATCATCAAGGTGTCCAGCCTGCTTGTGTTTGGACCCAGCAGCGAGACCTCTCTCCTGGGCAGAAACTACGACGTCACCATTCAGGTACAGTGTCCCATCCCCGGTCCCTCCTTCTACTGTCACCTCCTTCCCTTCCCCAGCTTGGGTCCGGCTGGAGGCAGAGGCCACTGCGTCAACCTCATGAGGTTCCTGGGACGGGTCTCGAGAAGAGCTTGGCTATGTGGGGCCATAGTTTTCAAACCATATTTTTGTAGCAAAAACCTTTCTCATTGCCTTCACCCATACCTTGCAGGGAGCCTCTGCGTGAGATGAAAGGAGAGTGACTGGGTGGGGTGGGCCGTCCCGGTGTCTCCCTTGCTCCCCACAGCCCGGCCCGGGAGGGCACTGCCTCCTGGGCTCCAGGGAACACAATTTGGAAACCACTTTGAAAACAAGCCCACGGCCTCTTGTTTTGCAAATGAGAAAACTCAGGTGCAGAGCAGGGAGCAGGGAAGGAGTGAACCCCACCTTTCCCAGGGCTGGAGTACCCCCTGCAGTCCCCTGGCAGATGGCCCTCCCGCTTAGAGCCGGACATGATGGAGAGTGACGAAGCACCCTTGCTGACCAGACTTCGTTCTCTTTAACCCACAGGGATGCAAGATCCAGAACATGAGTCGGGAGTACTGCAAGATCTTTGCAGCCGAAGCCCAGGCAGCCCCTGGCTTTGGGGAGGTACCCGAGTAAGTGCACACGAAGGGGGGCATGTGGTGTGCAGACCTGCTGACTCGAGCTTCTGCCCAGAACAGTGATTTCAGGGTCCGTCAGGGGCATCCTGAGTTACGGCCCACAGCTAACCCCATGCTCAGCTCAATGGTCCCACAAAATTTAGAAATAAAGACCTCAAGATTAACCGCCCACTTTAGAAAAGCCTCTGCCCTGCTCTTGGGTCTCCCCCCACTCACCCCAGTTCCCCACCCTTTAGTTCCGTGTCTGCGGGTGGCTGGATGCCGGGACTCTCCGAAGGTGGTAGGGGGTGGGGTAGACCTCCAGGCCAGCTGGTCGGGACTCCTTCCGTGGGCAGTAGGTGTCCGTGTAGGTTTTTGTAGGAGTCAGCTGTAAACGGTCGCTGTTTCCACGTTGAAACCTGAACTCTGACTCTTGAACCCTGGGGTCTGGTTGGCGTGGAGCATCCTCTCTAGAGGTGTTCCTTTCTGTTGGCCGCGTCCTGGTCTGGGTCCCTCACTCAAGCTCAGGGTTCTCCTGGGGCTATAGCACCATTCATTTCGAATCCCACTGAGCTCAGGGCATGGACAGGACCCTGAAGCCAATGGCCTCATTCCCTTTCCTGAGCTCAGAGCAGAGCTGGCCTCCATCCCTGTCCTTCGGTCCCAGAGCTGAGAATTCCATTCTTGGAAGGACCCTTCTTTCCAACCCAAGAGTGTGGAGTTGCGGTGGAGGGAGGGGCTCTCTGGGGCCATACTTCTGTTCACAGCGGAGTGGAACTGTGTTTAGGATCCTCCCACTCTACCTCATCTACCGGCCTGCCAACAATATCCCCTATGCGACCCTGGAGGAGGACCTGGGCCAGCCCCTGCAGCCTTACTGTTCTCGGGAGGGGGCCTGCGTGGCCGCCCCAGAAGCATCCTGCAGCTCCGAGGTCCAGCACAAATGCCAGACCTTCCAGCACTGGCTGTACCTGTGGACAAATGGCAGCTTCCTTGTCACCGATTTGGCAGGTAGGGGGCTGCGCGTGCATTAGGGCGTGCAGAGCATTGCCTCCCCCCACCGCCCCCGCCCCGGGACCAGGTCAAGGAGCCGGCCTCAGCGGCCTCGTCTAGAACTGCCGTGGCATTACAGTTAAGAAGGAATTTAGTTCAAAGAACACGACGTGGGAGCTAATGAAACAGCCACAGCCAAAATCTTTTCAAAATCTCCCTCCCTCCCTCCCTTCCTGGCAGCTCTGCTCTCGACTTTCTCTCTCTCCATACTTCCCAAACTCTCCCTTCCGTCCTAGCGCCCCAGCTTTACTGCCCCTTCTCCCTCCTCGCCTTCCTCCCCATCTCCCCCTCCTCTGCCTCTCCTCCCCCTCTTCCCCCTTCTCCTCCACCTTCCTTCCCTCCCTTCCTCTTCCTCCCCCTCCCCTCCCTCTTCCTCTTCCTCTCCCTCCTTCTCTCCCCTTCCCCTCCTTCTCTCTTCTTCCCTTTCTCCTCCTCCTTCCTCTCTTCCCTCTCTTCCCCTCTCTTCCTCTACATCCTCCTCTCCCTCCCCTCATCCTTCTCCTCTTCCTCCCCGCCCCCATCTGCCCCTCCCCCTTCTCCCTTCTCCCTTCTTCTCCTCCCCCTCCCCCCCACTCCGCTTCCCTCTCCTCCCTCTCCTTCTCTTCCTCTACATCCTCCTCCTTCCACTTTTGTTAGCTTTTTATTATGCGAACCAACTTAGTCTCTGTGGCTTCCTCTTATTTCTGTCTCTCCCATTCCTCAGATCTCCCCCCAACAAAGGCCAGCAAGCACAAATCCTCCTTTCTCTGCCCAGTCCTTCCCAGGCTGCCCTCTAGCCAGACCCGGGCAGGGGAGAGGAAAGGAGAGTTTCTCTACAGTGGGAGGAGAAGAATGCTGGGAGTATCACCCATCACCATATCTGGTCCCCGATGTGAATCAGTGAGAAAGCCAAGGGCCAGAGATAGAAAACTGGCTTAAATGTGCTTCTCGTTGGGGTTGAGCAGCACAATAAATGTGGTGTATGTAACTCCGTATATTGACGGGGGGCTGGTGGCACGTTAAGCCTTTGTCATTCCTTCTGTTGGTTGACTCCATCCGTCCAACATTTAGCCACTATTGGGAAGGTAAAAAGGTGAATCGGGAATCCTCACTGTCCTCAAGAAGCTGTGATAAGTACACCAGTTTCGAGAATGAGAGGATAATGTGATGCAGTGGAAGGACCTGGGACGCAAAGAAATCCGGCTTTCGTCTATGTCTCAGGGCTTTCCAGCTGGTCTCTGGAGACCCAGGAGAAAGCCGAAGCTCAGGCAGGGCGATTTCCACAATCTCTCTGAGCCTCGCCACACTTTCCCTCCCACGGAGTGACCGTCTCTTCCCTACCTCTCAGACTGGCTGGGAGGACTGAGTGAGGCCGTGGCTGTGAGCGCTTCTGCAAACTAAAATTCTGTGCAAACCTAGGGGGCCATGGTTACCGGGGTGCAGGGTGGAAGGTGGATCCCCCGAGAGAGAAATGACAGGGACTAACGTGTAACTGCTCGACCACTATGACTCAGACACTAAGCTAGAGCCCTGCACACCCCGTGAGGCTCTCACCCCCCCTGCATTACCCGCCTCTGAGAACTGAGGGCTAGGGGTGGTTCTCGTAGCTCTTAGCAGCTCGGAAGGGCCGGGGCTGACATCGGCCCACGTGTGCCCGACTCTCATCCGTCGTACCTGGCGCTGAGCCCTGGTCGCGAAAGGCAGGCCCCCAGAAGGATGTGACAGGACGGTTTGAAAGTGGGGAGAGGCTCCCCCTCTAATGTGTGGACGCTGGGATGCCGGGGCAGACCAGCCAGGCTGGAGAGGCCAGTCCCCCAGGGCCCGTTTTGCCTGGCTCTGTTCTCCCAACACCGTCACCTGGTCTCGGCTTCTTGGGGCGCGGGCTTGCTGCCTGTGTGAGTAGGTAGAAGCCGGTCTTCCCCACTGTTACTTTTCTGCTGGTCCAGCCTGGTTTACGTCCACATTGCTACCTGCTCTCCCTTGCCCGGAGAGGAAGGAGCACATGCCAGCTCAAAGTCAGCGGCCAGCCCAGCCTGTGGCCTAATGTCTCTGGTAGAGCAGGATTGCACAGCTGGAGGGGGCTGGGATCTAGGCGCAAGAACTGAACTTGTACTTTGCCTCACAGTGGCCACTGCACATGCTCAGTGCGCAGTTAGCAAATGAATGAATGAATGTGACCTTGCTCGGGCCCCTGACCTCCGAGCCTGTCTCCTCACCCGCAAAGGGGGGTCTTATTACTACTAACAGTAGCGAGATGCCCACACTGCGTGTGAGCCTGGCCGGAAGTGAGGATGTGCCCTGAACCCTGGCACGCTCCCGTCCAGCGATATACCTGTTTTGGAGAGGTGGGGGCCCTGGAACCGACCCAGGCTGCCCCAGCTTCCAGCTTTGTCTCTTTCCAGGGGTGGACTGGAAGATGACCGATGTGCAGATTGCTACCAAACTGCGAGGGTGAGTAGCTCTCGGGGCCAGAAGGCCCTTCTGAGAATCTTCTCGGGGTGTAAAATTATCCAAGTTCTTCTGGGTCTCCCTCCTCAAGGTTCTGGGCCTGTGGCCAGATGGGGTCTGGGGCGTCGGTGGCCATGTAGCCACGTCCCGGGGGCCGCTGACCTCCACCCACCGTGCCCCTGACGCCAGGTCTGGACCAGCAGTATCAATGGCCCCACACAGGATCACCTGCGCCTCTGGGCTCCTCTTCCTTCTGGCTTGAGAAGGCTCATCATGATGCAGATGAGCAAAGGCCCTGGGAGTAAAATGGGGACGCCAAGTCTGCTCTAGTTTGTACTAACAAGGCGGATCACCCTCACACCAGAGAATGTGGACGTGCTGAATTCCTGCACCACCGTGTAATGGGGCTTTGGGGTAGAATTCAGGTTTGGGGTGCTGCTAGCTGAGGTAGTACCCAGCTGGACTCCCCAGCACCCCCGAAAGGATGGGGCATAACACCCTGGCCATGGCCACCCCACCGTAGGCCCCCCCCAGGGCTCTCCCTCTGGGTGGGACTCCCGCTCAGCTCTCACTGTTTGGCTGCAGATACCAAGGCCTCAAGGAGAGCTGTTTCCCTGCCCTGCTGGACCAGTTTGCCTCCTCCCACCAGTGCAACCCCTTCTGTGAGATGCTGGGGCTCAAACCCCTCAAGGGCCCTGAGGCTGCCCACCCTCAAGGCAAGGCCAAAGGCTCCAAGAGTCCATCCACTGGCAGGAAGGGCGGCCAGCTGAGTCCTCAGCCCCAGAAGAAAGGCCTCCCCAGTCCCCTGGGCACCCGGAAGAGTACTCCAAGCTCCAAGGCCACCCCTCCGGCCTCAGAGGCACTCGCCACCCAGTTGCTGGGACAGCCTCCTACCCAAGAGGGCGGCTCCAAGGCCCAGGGCCTGCGGTAGCCCCCACAGGAGGCTGGGGGCCTCCACCCAGCAGCAGACCAACAAGGAAGCAGCTCGAGGCGATGGAGACTCCAGAACTACGGAACTAACCAGAGAAGGTGCGCTGAGGAGGCGCCACGAGGGGGGCCTCTCTGAGCAGCCTCTCCTCAATCCACTCCTCATCAGATGGCTTTTGTGCATGGTGACACCCAGGGGCTTCTCCTGGTGCCACCGTCAGCCGGGGCTCCCAGGCCCCATCCCCACGTGCCTGGTGGCCTAGGCCCTCCTTGAAGTTTACACTGGCCACTGCTGGAGGCTCCCTGAGTCCTCTGCATGAGCTCTGCCCCCAGCCCCCCGCCCCGCCAGACCCTGCCGTGAATATCGTACTCTGGGGGGCACACCGGCCAGTGGTTACCCTTTACTTTGCTTGGCCCTGACCTCTCCCCGTCCTTGGGGCTCCGGGCGTCCTGCACTGTGTCTGGCCTGGTGACTCTCAGGGAGCCTTCTCCTTCCAGCTACTTGGCCTCGTGCCTCCCAGCGTGTCCTGCAACTAACCTGTCACTGAGCCCAGATGGGGCTCAGGACACTTCCAGAGCCTGTCTCGTTCTTGTGCGGTGGTCTTTGGTGATGTGTGTTCATGCCCTTCCTTCCCCCAGCACTCAGGCACTCACTCACCTGCTTCCCGCGCTCCTTTGCCTCCGCATCTCCCATCCCCAGCTTCCAGCTGCCTGGCAGCCTGCTGCCTTTCCTTCGCTGCCTCTCTGCTTGTCCCCTTGCCCAGGCGCTTCCCCAGCCCGATTCCGCACCCTGCCCACCAGTCCGCGCCTCCCCTGCCTCTCCCAGGCCCTCTGCCCCTGCGGGAGAGGCGGCATGAGCATTGTGTCAGCAGCCCCGGCCAGCGGGCAGGCGTTGACTCGGAGGGACCTGGTGCTCCGCCCTGGAAAGATGTGCGGTCACAGTGAAGTTCACATCCCCTCTAGACCAGGGATGGAGGGCTAGGGCTGGTCTCCGAAGGGGAGTGCACTGGGGAGTTGGAGGAAGGATGCAGTCCACCCACAGGCTGGGCTGAGGGGTCCCTGTGCCTGGGAAGTAGGACGCCTGCCCCAGCCATTAGCTCTTGATCCCAGGGCTCCAGCTCTGGGGCTTCACATATGGGCTCCCAAGGAATTGCTGTGCTCCGCGCAGCACCCCGGGGCCTTCCTGAGAGCCCCTCCTGGTGGCCTGGGAAGGGATGGGCCTGGTGCTAGCCAGCTCCCCTTGGAATGCAATAAAGGCAGCCACTGTGTACCCTGCTCACCCTCATCTGGTATGGTTGTAGGTGTATGGGGTCAGGGCCCCCTCTCCCCAGGCAGGTTCTCCAAGGGCGCCTTACAGCCCCCGGACCCACTGCAATAATGAATCCAGGCTTTGGCTCCTGGATGGACATTCAGTCTCAGCCTTTGTGACCACAGCGACACAGTCTGTGCTGCTTGCCCAGCTGGGCTGATGGGGATCTGGGGACTTAGGTCTTTGGAATTGTTCCTTCATTTGGGAGAGGAACACAAAGGAAGGAACCCAGGAAGGAAGAGCAGAGCTGGAGGCTCTGGGGAAATGTCCAGCGTCTCTGGCTGTCTCCAGTGCCCCAAGGCCGGCCCCGGGGACAACCAGCCTCTGCCTGCCAGCTGCTCACTGGCCCTTTCCTGCTTCCCACGCTGCAGAGGCTTCTTACTCCCCAACAACCCCGTGCCACAACTTCCCTTGCCTGACATGTATGCCCCTCTGTTTTGACATTTCTGACTTCTCTACCTCTTGTGCTCAGGGGACTCTCCCCACTTTTTCCTCTTGCCCTCATGTGCCCCAGTCTGCAGATCCAGATTGCCTTGGTGAACTGGGAGTTGGAATGTTATCCATTCATTCATCTGTCCATTCAGCAGACATATGCTGAGCACCTCCTTCATGCCAGACCCCGAGTTGACAGCTGTGGGAGGCACAGATATATGAGGTGGCCTCAAAAGAGACTTTCCATTAGGTTTCTTGGGCTTTGAGCAACAGAAATGGACTCAGACCCACTTTAGCAAGGCAAAAGGGTTCGTGGGAAGGGTGTTGGGGCAGCTCCCAGAGCCAAAGGAAGAGCTGAACGATTGGGCTTGAGATGGTGGGAGCCAGTGGTGCTCTAGAGCTTGCATTCCGGGAGCTGCTGCTATGGGCTGATCCACCCAACCAGCCATTGGGACTCCCTTCACTCGAGATTCAAATTCCTGTCCTAGAGCTCAGGGCACTCTGGAGTGGGACAGAGGCAGTTTTCCAAGGGACCGGGATTCTTTCCAGAAGAATGGTGGAGAGGGGGAGGGTAGAAAAGGACTTGGTGGCAACAGCAGAGACACTCCCCCACCCCCACCCACCCACACACACACTGTTCTTCCCACCCGATGTATTACGACTCTCCCACATACAACCAAGAGTAAATTCCACTCTGCTTGGGGAGACCATTCAAAGTCACGTCCAATGACTAAGTCCAGGGGCTACCATTCTCCAAAGTCCAGTGTCACGAGTGACACTCTTCCCCCTTCCATCACAATCCCATTTTGAAATTCTGCAACCTGGGGAGTAAAATTAACCATCTTCAACCAACATTCTTGACCCCAGCAAGAAAGGAAGCACCGGTAAAGGCTGGAGTCCATTTCCAGAACAGGTCATGAGACCTAGTATTTCTGACTAGGGATTCTCTGCCTGTTGGAGTGACCCCAAGTTTCCGTCCTGAAGTCCGGCTCCTCAGTGGCCCTGCCCTGCCCCCTTCCAAGCAGCAGCAATCAGATTTTCCCTCGATAGGGTTAACCATCCTACTACTCCATGACCTCTTGTTGTGTGTCACTCAGAGCTATAAGGAGCCCGAAACAGCCGGGTGTGCCTCAGCTTCCAATTCACGTATTACTATGACATTTTGAGGATGTGTCTCCTTGGAGACTAAAACCTCTACACCAGCCTGGTCCCAACCCTCAGGTGTGTGGAAGGCACTGAGATGGAGGGATAGCTCGCCCCTCTCCGCCTGCTTCCCAGCCTGTGAGGGCGAACGAACACCAGGAGATGCGTGTCAATTCCGAGCTTGTGCTATATCCTGCGGGTCGGACCCAACCTCTCAAGGTGGTGTTTCTCAGCTGGTGCCCTTACTGAGTTTTCAGCAAACCATCTCACCATATTATCAAGCTGACTGCTCCTGGACTGCTGGGATCCTGACCAGATGAGTGAATGCCATAGGCATCAACCCATTACTTTACTTCTGCTGTAGAATGCATTCTTTGGTTGGATGCCCTATGTGGGGATGCCACAGTGATGTTTACAGCATTTGATAAGTCCACGGATATTGATGGTGGGAGGCATGATGGATAAGGAAAGCAAATCCAAATCCAGATGAAGGGCCCATAGTGGTCGAGACAGATTCCTGCCCTCTTGAAGTGATAGGTGTAGACTCAGGGGAGGCTCAGCTGCAGGTCAGGAGGAGGGAGCATGGAAGAATGAGTGAGGAATTCACACCCATGGCCTACCTGTGCCTTCAGAGACCTATCCTGGAGCCTCCCCTTGAAGATGGAGTGCTTTTGGCCATGGCTCACTATGGCTGGGTGGATCAGATAAGCCCGGTTCATGAGGGGCAGCATGGCCCCCTGCTATGCTGGTAGCCAAGCATTTAGGCTCCTCCAGAGCCCAGTGGCAAGCCAGAGCGCCATTTCTCAAAAGGATGGTAGTTGTTGGCCAGAGAATCACTTGGTTCTGAACCCTGAGTTTCCCCGCCATACTTTTCTTATTAGGACTTGCCACAAACTTCATTAGCAACAGGCCCCACATGGTTCCCCAATATGCCACAGACAGACAGACACCTCAAGCACCATTGGATCTGTCAGGTCATGGGGCCTGGTAGGAGAACCATTCTCCCAGCCGGAGAACCTTCACTTGCTCTCGGCCCAACCCAAAGCTGGTGGCCTTCTAGGTCATTCAGTACATGGGTTGGAACAAGATGCCCTAAAATGACATTTTTGCCTGGAATTGGGTCTTAGTGGTAAGGGATTAAAAATGCGGTAATTTGTTCTACATTATGGAGGAAATATTCTGACCTGATCAGACCCCTCAACCCCCAGGAATTTACCAAGACCCCCCCTTTTTTTTTTGCATTTTCACATGATTTATCTCCCACCTCTGACCCACATATGTCTTATCAAGGCATCTAGGGAAACTGCTGACTCCAGGCTCTATCAGCATGATGCCGTCAGTGTGAGGGAACACTGTGGTGGCGAGGGCAGTGTCCCTGTGGGCCAGGTGGTGGCACAGAGCCGGTCAGCTATGATATTCATCTGAAGATGAACTCTTTCTGAAGTTCTTTGTTCATCAAAATAGAAGGAAAAAAATGAATTCACTAGAGCAAAGGATTCATACCAAATGTGAGGAGCTGGATGAATTTGCTTGAGCAAGAAGACCATCTCTGGAATAGCACCTGCAGTTGGAGACATCACTTTTTAAAGCTTACAGCGATCCAAAGACTTCTTGGTGTTTTGCACTGGTCAAGCTGAGCTGTGGTAGGAATCACTATGACTTCACTCTCAGGTCTTTGATAGTTACACTGATTTCTACATTTCCCCCAGGAATACGGTTCTACTTTTGATTTACCATTTTGGTAGGGAGGGGGGTTCCAATGGCTTGTGCTTGTCCTATCTTGCTAGGGTCATTCTTACCCCACACATCAGAGTGCCATTGTGGGAGGGATGTCTCCTTCAAAATATATCCATTTCAGCTATTCACTCAAAATAATCCTGGGTTGGCTTTGAGATTCCACTGTCTACTGTGGTGCAAATTTGGTCTATTAATTATCCCCATTGGTTGGCAGACCACATGCTTTTCTTTTGCCCCCAGAAATTGGACTTAGCTTGGAGCCAGTATCCTACAGAACTCCTCTCCCCAAGTTTGGGTATTTTTCTTTTCCTTCTATAGTTCCCAGATAAATGGACACAGATCCCTTTAGGGAAGGCCAAGGAAGGTTCACGATATGCATTAAGTGTTAAAGTAAGGTTTCCCTTCAGAGATATTTGGCTTACTCTCCATTGAAGGTCTGGAAATTAGTGGGAGATTTTGACTCCACCCTGGCAGCTTGAGACAGACCTGTTTGCCCAACCAGAAGTCTTTAGTTATGGTTATAACTAGGTAATATCTTAGGGACTGTCTGGTCTTCATTCCTGGGACCCAGTGGTTGATTAGCCACCGCTCGAGGTCTGGTTTCCATGCCCATGACCGTTGTGATGACTCCTCTACTTTGTTCCTTGTATCTATCTCTGCTGCTGAGATCAGGCTGCTCATTTTCACAGCAGCTCTCCCAACCAGCATTCCAGGCCTAGAGAGGAAAGCCAGCAGAACCTCACCCCTGTATTTCTCGTGGCAAGGAGCAAGACCACCTCCTGGGTCCTGTCGGAGGACAGGGAGAGGATGGATGGGCTGGATGCATGCAAGGGACCCAATAAAGCATTCTATTCTCCTGAGATCCGTGAGTTCCTGCTTTCTTGGATATTTGGTCTTTTTAATATAATTTAGCATGGGTCAATGTCTGGTCCAGATTTGTATTATCCACCCCCTACCCTGCAATGATTAAAAACTGTATCTAGTTGTTTGAGCTTCTGCATTACATGTAGATCTCTGGTGAGCAAACATATCAATAAATATCACCTGAAGCAAAATTATATTCTACCTATCTTGGTCAGACAGCCTTTAAAATTTTTCCATAAATGTTCCCTATAGTTTTTGACAATGTGTATTAGCTAGTGCATACAGTTTCTTCCAGGTGTGACTCTTCTTTTTCCTGATCTGATTCTGCCTCTCATCCCCTGAGCTATGTTGGGTGTGGATTCCGGTTATTGGCAGATCAGTAGTGTAGTGTGGGACAGGGTCTGGGTCTCAATTTTCTGACTTGATGGTGCCAATACCCCTGAGCTGATAAAACTCAGGGAGGCTGTCTCTTTCATTAAACTTATGAGAAAATGGGATTTGTGCACCAAAAACCCAACTCACTAATTTTTAATGAGAAATTTAACCATCCAGGAGACTGGACACGTGCGTTGACCTGAAAAAGCAAATTCTTCCCTTCTTCCGAAAGGAAAAGTTGTTTGGCAAGCTTAGAACAAGAGAGACAAACTTTAGTTCAAACCCAGCTTTCCTAGGCAGAGGATTTGGAGCTTGCTGCTTAAATTCCCCAAACTGAGCTGCCTCATCATTGTTTAAATCCTTTTACTAGAATTTATAGACTACCTATCATATGTAACAATTCTACATTCTGGGTACATAACCGTGAACAAAACAGACATAGACTCCTCCCCCAGAGAGCTTACAGTCTAGTGGGGGAGACAAACATTAAACACACACACCAATAAATGTATAATGGCGAATATATGTGTTAAGTACTACAAAGCAGAAGAATGGGAGAGAATACCAGCAGGGTGTGGGACTCGAATTAGACTGGGGCTCTCAGGAGCCAACCTGAAGGCATTGATACTCGAGCTGAGATCAGAAGGGTGTTGGTCAGAGGAAGGGGAAGAGCGTACCAGGCAGAGGAAACAATCCATGCAAGGTTCTGTGTCAGGTTGTAACAGAGGGACGGAACGAAAGCTCGTGTGGATAATGCATGGTCAGTGAGGGCACAGTGGTATCGCACTATGAGGTTCAGAAGGGGGTGAGGCTAGACCATGGAAGGACATTTGCACTGAACCCCAAGAGCAGTGGTGCATCAGTTAGGATCAGTGGTTACTGGAAATGATAGAGAAGCCCTCCCATGATGGTAGTCTTAAGCAAGACAGAGTTATTTCTTCCTCAGGAAGAAGTCTGTAGGCAGTAGGAGATCTGGACATGGCCCACCTAGGCTGGCATGACAATTCTAGGATGTTGTCAGGGGGAAGGCTCCTCTGGATCTTTGCTCTGTCCTGCCAACCCAAGCAGTAGCAATTGACCCCAAGTGCAACATCATGAATAGAAGAACTAAAATGGTAATACAGCTGTCAAACAACAGATCCTCTTTGTATAGAGTCAACAGAGAATGCCTAAAGTTGACAAAAAAAAATAGTGTCTATATATTTTTATCTATCAATCATCTATCCATCCCCCCATCTATTCATCCGTTTATCTATCATTCACTTATTTTATTTATAGAGGTTGCTACCAGAAGTGAATAGACAAGAATGGTCTGTCTGTAGGTGGGGTGGGGGGGTGGGTCTGGTCTCTGGTTTTCCTGGTTCTGGTCTCCCTGAGACTGTCCAGGGGTGAGAGGCCTTTAAATTTCCTTTGCTGGTCATTGATGTGGCTCTTACTTGAAACAAAATTGCCTACCGAGGGACCCCCAACTCCTTCTGCTTCAGGAACCACCTATCAGTAATTGGGTCATATCCCATTCAACCAGGCAAATTTGAGCTCCGTTGTTGAATTACAGTGGCAAGGATGAGGATGATGGCACTCAGCCTTTAGCAGTATCTGTCTTCAGGAGGCTGTGGTTGTATGCCTGGAGCTGGCTCGGGGCAGGGGGTCCGGTCCTGGAACCCACAAGGCACCGTCCTCTGGCCTCGGAACGGATATGGCTCACAAATGGCTCTTTCCTATTATTCCCAGAGGCTAATGAGGCACAGCAGTTACTGTAACCCCCGCCTCAGAGGACATGGTGCATGTGCGGACAAAGGGATGCTCCCGGCACTTGCCATACGTACCCAGATGGTAGCGTTACGACAGCAGATGAGTCTATGGATTCCTGGCCTGACTTAATAGTGTAGTCAACTGCTCTGGCCACTGGCTTTTTAATGGCTGGAACAGTACATCCAGGTCCAGGGTGGGATACGGCCCTCAGGATTCAACTGGCTGTTGTCATTTCCAACCAAATTCAACACCCTGGTTTCACACTAAACTTCTTTGGTTCTACCAAACCCCCATGAGAATTCTCGTTGGAACAAGGCTGCAGACAAAGCCAGGGTCCTGTCTGACAGCCCCCTGAGGCAGGCGGAGGACCTATGGAAAAGACTCTGTTTTGGCATGGGCCCAGGCTTAGGATAATCCACAGCAGCCAGCGCCCTGCTTCCAGCAGCCTGGGAGTGAGGGGTCCGACAGAGCCAATCACTTCTCACCTGCAGTGGAGGCTTCTGCTGCCCTGCCCAGGCCCCCTTTACCGTGGGGACCCATCTCCCAGGTGCTGTGAGTTTGTTAGCTCACAGCTGCCCCTTGTCCGAAGAACTGCCCTGAGTCAAATGAAAGCTGCCTCACCTGGGAGGCAAAATGCTTCCTAATCCCTTCCCTAGTCCTTGGCCCACGACTGACTGGCCTGGCCTGGCCTCAAGGCGAGACTAACCTATGGGCAAGTTTGTGTTCCAGAGTTTCCCTGTGGAATCCAACTAAAGTCAGACTCTAGTCAAGACCACACTCTTATTTTTACCCCTGCCTTATTCTGTATCCCTTCCTCCCCTTCTGCCAAGAGCACCCCCCTCCCTCGTAAATCACTTGAACAAGAATCCCCATCTCAGGCTAAGGAGTGTACCTAAGACCCTCAGGTGTCCTGCTGTGTGGACTCTGCCATTGGAAGAGAAATCTCACTGGGGCTCTTCTTTTCTACCAGGGCAAAATGTGTGGTTTTGGAGCAGTTGGAGTCAAATTACTCAGGTTATGTGGGTGATTACCCAGTACATCAGCCCCTGCAGAATAAATTGGTGCTGGGTCTTACTCAGGAAGTTGCTCAGAGACACAGTATCCCAGATTTCACGGGGTCTGACCAGAGAACACAATTCACAGCCATCGGCTTTAAGTGAAGAATCCATCCTGCCTGCCAAGCAGCTGGTGAGGTGGAAACATGGAGTGGGCACCGGAGAGCCGGCTCAGAACTCCCCAGTACAAACAGGCAGCACGGTGACCCATGGGTCTACTTCGGGCTGTTCAACTTCTCCATGGTTGCTCCATTTATGGTGCTGGTCCCCCCATCACACACGTCCATGGAGGAAATGGTGACCAGTACCCATGTCCTTGGGTTAGTGTAAGGGTTCAAGGAGATCACGTGGCTAGAGCTTGTAGCACAACCTGGCACGTGCCAAGCTCTCAGACGCTTGGCTCTCAGCTGGTACCGTGGTTGTTACTGTCTCTTGGAACTAGAGGATCCATCCCAGGGCCACTCACACGCTGCTCTTCTCCAAGGTGGGAGACCCTGGTATCTCTCCCTTCCCTCAAGGTGAGGTGGCCAGCACAAATCTCTGCCCCTACCCCTGACAGCCATCTTGCCAACTCTCATCCTATGGGAGACAGTCAGCATGGCCTCCTGACCCACAAGCTGGCCGATGTTTAGCTCCTGGGGTGGGGTCAGGCTCTCCCCAAACCCCCATGGCCATGGAGTGAAGGGGATTGGCTGCAGCCTTTGGAACGATGAAACTTGCTTCTACAGGCATAGTGAAATGGAAAGGAAATGCTTGAAAATGAGTCATGGTGTGTAACTGGCAGGTCCACACAGGAAGAACAGTTGGTACGAGTCAGAGGAGAGTCAGAGATGAGGCTGTGTCCTTCATTCTACAGCACGATGTTATTGGTGGAACTCCACCTGGGTGGAGGGAGGCAAGATATGCCTGGAAAGCCTCAATGTCTAGATGTGACACTCAGAGGTCTTCATTTTTGTTCTTCCTAACAATTGTATGTAATTTGTGATGTCCTACCGGTCAGTACCTTTCCTACGGACACTACTGGTCTGTGGTAGATTCATTTTATTGGCTGCTCCTAGGAAGCATAAAGTCCTCCGTGTGGAAACTTCTATAAAAATATCAGGTTTGGGGCGCCTGATCGGTTAAGCGTCTGACTTTTGATTTTGGCTCAGGTCATGATCTCAGGGTCCTGGGATGGAGCCCCATGTCACACTTCATGCTCAGAGGGGAGGCTGCTAGTCCCTCTCTCTCTCTCTCACTCTCTCTCTCTGACTCTCACCTCACTCTCTCTTAAATAAATAAATGAAAAATCTTTTAAAAAAAATATCAGGATTTGCTCTAAAGCTTAGTGGGTGCCATGAGACCACTTCTCTGACAGGGGAGGGGAGGAAACAATGAAGGGCTTATTTTTGCCTATGTAATTAACCAGCTTCTCAACTGTGACTCAGTGTCAGCTCCGGGCCAACAAGGCAATGGAGACCCTAATTAGTAGCCCCCACAGCCCCTGTCGATGGCTTGTGGAAAATGGTACACCTCAGAGGGAGGATACAGCCTTTGGTATAAAACCTACCAAAGCCAGGGACGTCATCCTTGAACCCAACAGGATGACATGAATTACAACCTATCTTGGTTTGTAGAACATCTTAGCTTGATCCAGCTGAAAAGGAAACATCTCAATCTCTCATTATGTAAGAAGCTGATATGAGATGGAAGGGCAAGAAGGCTAGAACATAAAAGAACAACAAGGGAAATAGACTTCACAAAGTAGCAACCGGTTCAATATTTGGAGATAGTGATCTCTTAACTGTTTAGGGAAACTTCCCCCTGCCTGGGTGTG